GCCCTTTAAGGCTGATTCACACTATTCATCACGTCACGTCACTGTCAAGATGACATGTTCACACCCAAGGATTAGTCACCGTCTTCCGAAGAATATTTTGACGTGACGTGATGGTGCGGTGCCGAATCGATGCCGGGATGCTGCCAATAGTGAGAACGACACCTCAGTCAAGGAACAGCGAGCTAGCAAACCTCTCTTCACGTGGATGGTACGAGAAGTGTATATACATACACACACGCACAATATATATTATATATATATATATAATATATATATATATATACATATTTATATGTACATATATATAATTATATATATTGCTGACTAGTAGCCGCAGTGAAAAACTGATTGAACTTGTTAGGCAATATGATGAAATATTAACATATCAAACAGGAGATATGTGAAAACTTATTCAAGACAACCTATGGAATAGACTAAAGAGAGGAACTAAACAAACCAGGTAAGAAACTCAAAATCCATTACATTTTTCATACTTGATGATACAACTTTTTAAATACAAGCATTTTTATTATGAATCTCATGTTCTGTGATATGACTTTGAATCAAAGGATTCCCTTTCTTTTAAAATGTTTTAAATCAATGACGATACGTGATGAGACGGTGACGTGATGAGGAGCGCGGATCAGCCCTGAGTCTGTTCCGCTGCAGTGAGGATAATCAACTGGAGTTTTCTGAATTCACAAAAAAAGTTACTATGCACAACCATGAGACTCATCTGAGCCAGTGAATAAGCACTATATTGGCAATAATCTCGTTAGCTAGAACAAAGACTCGGAGAAAGGATTAGAGACCCTAATTTCCAATCAGATACTGTTTCCTAAATCTCATGAGTAACCAAGACCGGAAAGAAATCCGTTGGTCAACTGATTCCCGCGACCTCAATGCGATTTAGAAAAGGACCCAATTTAACGCAGATTAACGTATGTGTGCTGCCTGTTTGCCTATGTATGAGTATGCGATACATGAACTGTCGACATGAAGTTCTTCAAATATTTTCAAGGACGTCAATAATGTAATCAATATTGTGTTTGTCCCAGGAAAAGGAAACGGGCAGATAACCAAATGAACTGAATTAAGTAATTTATATGCAACCGATTACTCATGATCCTAAAACTCATTTTAGCTGAGACAGAGATAGAAAAAAATCAAGCTTCAGGTCATTAAAAACTAATTCATTCGGAAGCTGAGTTATAATAATAATATACTTAATCCACAATAACGAAATATTAATGATTTCCTATATGTAGACAAATAAATATTTGTTTTGTCATCAGTTTCTGATTATCCACATAAAGTCGCACTAAACACATGAACCACTATTTCAAAAGCCTACTCATAGCGATTTCAATAGAAATGCAACTAAAGTGAATTCATATATACATTTTTCTAAAGATCACATTTCAGTATTCAAGCTCCATACCTGGCTGCTCCACTGGAAAAGCAGTCACTGATTAAATTGATTGAAAGGCCTTGATAAAAAGGGTAAACTTCATAATTGTCACGCAGGTTTGACCATGAATCGATCAAGTGCTGGAATGAGGCGAATGGGACACACTTTCAAAGTGGGGAAATAGAATATCCTCTTATCAACTGATTACACTTTATATGACTCTCTCTCTTCTCTCTCTCTCTCTCTTCTCTCTCTCTCTCTCTCTCTTCTCTCTCTCTCTCTCTCTCTCTCTCTCTCTCTCTCTCTTCTCTCTCTCTCTCTCTCGTTCCCTTTCTCTCTCTCTCTCTCGTCATTTCTCTCTCTCTCTCTCTCTCCTCTCTCTCTCTCTCTCTCTCTCTCTCTCTCTCTCTCTCTCTCTCTCTCTCTCTCTCTCTCTCTCTCTCTCTTCTCCTCTCTCTCTCTAACTCTATCTCCCTCTCTCTTCTTATCTCCAGCTGTATGTAATGTCTAATTATTCAAGATATCTGCCAATATCCATATCCATGGATAGAATGAGGATGTTAAATGTAGCGCAGATATCCACTCATGCGGGTATGGATATCCAATCCAACCCTAACGACTGGAAGGATATATATAGAAGCATCCAATAATTTGTCAGTAATATGAATTCTGTTCCTCTGCTCCTGTATGGAAATGCCCTAAATCATTTGATTAATCATTACTAATCAGTTTAACTGACAGAACATGACTATGGCAATGATATTTTTTCTTTTTATTCACTCTCACTTACACATACAGTCACACACTAAGTAGGCATGTACTGTACAAACGCACATTCATGTAATCTCAGAACTTCCCCTCCCCTCTTCTCTCTCTCTCTCTGCATCATATTTAACATCCTCATTCTTATCCATGGATATGGATATTTGTACTCCTCGTTTATTGGAAGATTACAAGTTTGTTCAAAAGGTGAATGTGCATCTCTGTATTGTAAATAAAGGGAATTAATAATAATAAAAAAAAAGCGATGCACGATTTCTGTTGGAGAAGTGTGCGATTTTCCATTTTTATTTATCTAGCTCTTTCTTC